GCCGCCCTCTTCCACCGTCACCGCCGCCGCCTCTGCTCTCTCCTCTCCTCCCCAACCATCTTCTCCTTCACTCTTCAGTACTTGCAATCTATCTCCCTTCACAAGAAGTCCCTTTTAATCGCCCATTATCTATTGCTTAATCTCTCCGTTTTGAACCACTTCATGAGGAGTAATACCACCGCGCCACCCTACGCCGCCACCGGAATGAAACTCCGGGACCTCGATGCGGTTCTTCTTTTACTTCTTCTCTGCGAGTTGCATCAGAATGAACCGGAAGCTCTTGAATCGCCTCCATCATTCTGGCGGGGGGTTCTGTGTAATTATGTGGCTGATACAATGTTGAAATTGACTAGCTTTGGAGCATCCAATGGTGAAGTTCTGATGGAGTACATAGAGAAGGTGGTTAAATGTAGGAATTTTGTTAATGTAATGGGTCGTGATAGTGGTGGTGGTGATGAAGGGAAGGATGGCAGGGAGGTGGCGACGTCCGTGGCGGCGGTGGTTGCTTTGCCTTCGGTGGAGGTGAGTGGCGGCGGCAGGGAGTGCGTAATATGCAAAGAAGAGATGATCAAAGGAAGAGACGTGTGTGAATTGCCATGCAATCATTTGTTTCATTGGATGTGTATATTGCCTTGGTTGAAGAAGAGAAACACGTGTCCTTGTTGCCGGAGCAGACTTCCAACCAATGACGTTCTCAGCGAGATCGACCGGTTGCTAGAGGATCTTGTCAAGATCGGTGATGGCGATGATAGATTGTACCGTGAACGCTCTATACATGATTAATTGATTTAAAGTTCGTCTTGTAAAATCTTGAAATTGATAAATTAATGCAAAATATAGGTACTATTTCTCCCTCGACATCTCAAATCTACTTTTGAGATGAGTGTCAAATGTGATGAACTTGAGTCAAGCATGGGTAAATAATGATGACTTATACAAAGAAGTGCATAACACCTTTGACGAAAGATAATCATCATTTATCGTCTCGTCAAGATTGATGGTTGAGGTGACAGCGGTAAATCGTACTGTAAATATTCATGTACATTATTAATTGATCATTAAAGCCCATCTTGTAAAATCTTGAAATTAATTAATTAGTGCAACATAAAGTTATTATTTTTTCTTGACGTCTCAAGTTTACTGTCCAGATGAGTGTCAAATGTGATTGCCTCGACTGAAGTAGAAGAATGGGCGGTTATGGTGAAGGATTTGGAGAAGAATTGAAAACCACTCATTCATGATCACAAGAATGTGTATATGTGGTTCAGGTTAGGGATTATTAGAGAGGCATAAATGCAAATTTGATATTTTGTGGTACCTGTACCAATAGAGACAGGAGAGCATACGAGTAAATATGTCCTAAAACAATTTTCGGTCTAAATATAGAGATAAATTTTATAGATTGACTCTTTTGTTCATTACTAATCAGAGTTGAACGTACACTGTACGTTATTTTAAAATACTTTATAAATACCATAAAAGCAATATTTGATATCAATTTGTTAGAAAGCTTTGATGAGTCTCAAACGAACTAAATTAATGTGAATGTTAATTAATTGAAAATTAATAACACGAAATTCATACATGATATGGATTGTAGTATTTATTACATGTTGAAAAACAAAAAATAATGTGTTATTATAATAATTAAATTGTAGTAGGGTTTAAATCATCTAATAATTAATTCTCAAATAATTGAATTGTGATAGGGTTAAAATCGTCCAAAAATGATTCTCACTCGATGTTATATTTAATATATAATTATAGATTATATATTACAGATAAACATAATACAAAAATTGATTTGGAAGAGTTTGGGAGGTACAAAAATACTAATGTCTTCTAAATTCATGCATTTATGCAGGTTATTAGTAGGGGTGGACAAAATGTCCAGACAAGACCAGACCAAACTAGAACCAAACCAAATGAAGCGATTCTGTTTGGTTCTATCAAAAAAATTAATGATTTTGGTTCTTTGAACCAAAAACCATTTGGTTATGGTTCTGATTCAGTTCTAGTTCAAAAATCAGAACCAAACTTAATATTTAATTTTATATATAATAATTAGTGGAGACCTTAATTTTATATTCATTGGAGATAGCTCATTGATTGGATACAGTTTATTAATCAATTTTGGGCCATTAGAGATAACCAACTCATTAGTTGTCTACACCATAATTTTGTATTCAATTGAATTATTTCTCCTTCACTCATTTTTAATTTACACAACGTTGTAGCATACTGGTACCTCATTTCATCAAGTTAGTGGAGTGTCATTTAAGATCGAAATATAAAATTGGTCAGTTACCTAAAAAGTCTCTAAACTCTTTTTTTTACTTTAATTGTTTGATGAGTTATTTGTGTTCTTCACAAATAAAGGAAAATTTAATAAATATTCATAAAATATTAAACGATTATAGAAGTGGACTGTAAAAATTTTGATAATTTATTCTTTATTGTAGGGGTGTACCTTCAAAACTACTACAATTAATTTAATGAATCATTGCTATTAGTTATTAAACAATTTTTTGAATGAAAATGAAAATTGATTTGTGTATTCAAATTATGAATATATTTTGTTTGTTAGTTATAATTTTTTTGATCTCGATGATTGAAATTTGAACTTTCTAAATGTTTGATGTTTAAATTCTTATTTAAGTATACATTACTAATTTATATGATACAAATATAAAAATTTAAGAAATGAAATTAGAACCAAACCAAACAAGAATCGAACGGTTTGGTTTCATATCTATAAAAAAACCATTTGGTTCCATTATAAAAAAAAAAAATCATTGGTTCATGGTTCAGTTCTATTCTTTTGGAACTAGAACCATATGGAATTATGTCCACCCCTAGTTATTAGTGTGATCCTTTTTGACATGTTGAGTAAAGTAAATTCGACTCGTGTTGGTTCAATTAAAAAATTGATCAAAATTTAAATCAAAGTCAATAATAAATTTAATCAAATATTTCAAGGGATTCACAACATTTCAATCACATAGTCCATCAATTTTTCTCAAAATTTATTAAAATTTTGATTTTTATCTAATTAAACCAAACATGACTAGATAAATAATATTAACCCTTGTTTGGTGTAATTAAAAACCAGGAATTAATTAATTTTGATAAAAAAAAAAAAGATAAATATATAGGTCCCGTTTAATTCTCATTTTTCTCAAAACGCATTTTTCTCTCTCTTCTTTTCAATCATACATTCTTCATTAAAAAATATTACACGTAAATAAAAAATTTTCATCCACACATTCTTCATCAATTTACCATTCTAAAATTCAAATTTCCTTAAAAATGAGTATCAAACACCCTCATAGTTAAAAAAGTTGCAAGTCTCATAAAATGTATAGTTAAAATTAATTGTTGATTCAGATATAGATTTTTATTAAGTTTTTAAGCTATACCAAACAGAAACTAAGTTATAAAAAAAAAAAAAAGTTGAAATCTTTATTTATTGTAATGTCGAAATTTGATAGACAAAAATGCATTTTTGAGTTCCTCGAGCGAAAAATTCACATACAATCAACTTAAGTTCATACTTGTGTCATAACTTTTACGATATGAAACTCATAACTGATTGGTCAATCCCTAGTTAAAACGCCAAAGACAGTCTAGAAGTTAAATTTTTTAATGAGACCAAAAATTAAACGTGATTATAGTATTTAAACATGACAATTCAAGTTAACGTACCAAACATCTTGTAAATTTTGTTAAGAGAGACACATCAAGGATAAATGAATTAATTAATACTCACAATTTTAAACACAATCAAAATTAGATTATTATTATTATTATTATTATTATTATTATTATTATTATTATTATTATTATAACTGTTTCTGTTTCGTTGCATACTGTTAAGAGAATAAATCTCATATCGGTTAAATACCGAAATATTGATCAACTTAAATAGATCTTGGGCCGCTCCTCTTAATAAGGTAAATGTTGACCTTATTAAGATGGACCCCAAATCTTAACATGGTATCAGAGACTAGTAAACTCGGACGAGCTATTCGATCCGATTAAGTCTAAAAAATGAGCACACGAATTTCAAGATTGGTCTGCTCAAAAAGAGTCACCATCTCGCGGGGGCATGTAAGGGAATAAATCCCACATCGGTTAAATAACGAAATATTGATCAATTTAAATAGATTTTGGGTCACTCTTCTTAAAAAGATTGACCTTATTAAGATGAATCTCAAATCTTAACACATACCATATAAGCCCACAACAAAATATAGCTTGGAGTCTGGAAAACGTAGAACGTGAGCATGTATCAACTTCCAATCAACTGTTAAACAAGTCCACGAGTCGGGCCACCCACCCACACGTTCCTTTTTTTCTAAATAGAGTTTTCATAAAAATAACAAAAGGAGAAACTTACTTAAATCCCTATAATATTATACACTTATTCAAAACCTTAAAAAGATGAAATTTAGTTGCTTTTCGAATGAATTATGATCTAAATTGTTGTATTTGGTGTTGAATAAGTAAAATTCAATGATAGTACAAGAAATTGGAAGAAACAAGAGGAAAACTTGGAAAAATAGCAAAATTCAAAATTTGGAGATTAAAATGTAAATACTCAAAAGTTGTGTCAAAATTTACGATGAAAATTCGAGAGTTTTAGGAGTCAATCGAATGAGGAAAGAAATCAAAGGAGTGAAATAGAGTCGAAGTATTTTCACAAATTAACATCCAGTTGAAAAAATTATGCTCCGAATTTTTAGCCTCAATTTGATACCCATTTTTTGGTTAGAAAAAGTTCGAATTGGAGAAATACTACTCCTATAAGAATTGTATCTATTTAAGTTATCTTTCCAATGCACTTTGAATCACCTCAATTGGATATCGGAAGAGGAATATATGACCAAAATACTAAAAGTTGTTCAATGAGAAAAACTTATAACTATGTGGTCGCACAGTTATAAAACCATGCGGTTGCATCTATGCATGCAGAGAAGAATTTGGAGTCCAGAAAGTGATCTATGCGGTAGCATGATAGTGTACTATTCGATAACATAGCACAAAAGTTTGATCGAATCCCAAGTTTCTTTATATGATTAAAATTCAACTTGGAATGATATTGGATGATATTTTTGACCTAAATTGGAGCCATATAAGAACGAAAACGTCCCATACACAGAGGGAGCCTTTTTTATGCATAAAAACACATAGAAAACAATGGAGAATTTAGAGAGAATTCAAGGGGCAAAAGATCAAAGGAATGAATCTACTCATTAGGAGGAAAATACATGCAATTGGAGATTGAAAGACCGAATTCAAGGGAGAAAAACATCAAGCAATCCAGTTTTGAAGTATAAATTGGAAGAGGGAGAAGATCCTGGTGCAAGATTGATTTCTCATTCTATATTCTTATTCAAAACTCTATGATCTCTTCCATAATAACTTCTTGTTTTTCTTTCATTACTATAAGTAGTTAAATCTAATTTTAGGGCGAACAATATAACCCATTTGAGACCCTTTATTTATTTTATTTGAGATTATTTTTCGTTATGATTATATGTGTGGTTTTTAATCATGTTCTCAATGCTTTGAATTTTATAACCAATTATTCAATGATTTCGTGAACAATAATTACGTAAAAATGTGGATTCTTTGTTTAGACCACATATTAAAATTCGATAAATTAATATAACATGTAAAGATACCTATATTAATTACTGCAGTCATAAACGAATTCTTAGAACTATTATTTTGTTTAACTAAATTTGATTCGCATAGAAATATGGAATTGAACTAGTTAAATGGGCTCAATGAGAATTCGAGAGGGATAAATTGAATATAATAAGAGAATTCGATCGAACAATACTTCAGATTTT